AATATCAACGTTATTCCTGAATACGCTTTAACGAACGTATCTCCGTTATCGCAGAAATACGTACCCGACATCTTTTGTGACATCTTGGAAGATAACACGTCTTTTCTGTTCTGACTCGCTTTTCGTTTTCATTTCTCTTCTCTCCGCTCTTCAACGTCCCGTTGCACTTAACATTCCTCCCAGCTTTAAGTAACTCGAGGAGAATATTATCAATTTTTGAGGTAGCGGCGCGATGCGATAAGGGCAGAGATTAGACGAGCTAACATTAGCACGACGATTTCTCGATTTTTCTTTGTCGAGAGAATCCCAAAACCACGGACCGTTGTGATTGATAGAACGATCTTTCCCAGCGATAAGCGTTGCCGTGGGGCTTGAAATTCAGAACGCAATTGCACACCGAACCCACCCAAGTAATTTCTTCGGTGAACGAGAGTTCGAACGTGCGTGAATAAAGAATCGTGTACGAGTTTCAAGCAGCACGCACGCAACGTTCTCCGTTTTGTTTCACGAACATCAATTTTGAAGAATATAATAGAATCGAAACGAAAATAGAAACAAAGCTCAGTGAAGACAAAGCTGTTTCCTCTTAAATCTGATTCCAGAACTAGTCGTTCAAACTTCTCTTCTTTTTTCATTTTAATACTGTTTGCTATTTGACGAAATTTAATACTAAACGATACGAAAAAATGAAAGATATATGCCATTCGATGTTTCGAATGGCTATTTAATAAGAATGAGACCATTTAATAGCAAAGACTGCTCGTTTCAGATAACGAGTACAGATTTCTTATTGCTTTTGCAATGATCCGACAGATAGATATTTGTAACAGAGAGCTAAGTAATACAGTTTGCGCTTCAACCTGATTCTTCGGGAATGCTCGTAGAATCTGGCAAGGGTGGAAGTTGGCATTTGTATGCCAGGCTTTCGAATCCAAATGTATTTGAAGGAAGCCAAAAAAGTAGTGCCAAATAGACAAATACACTGCGATATGAAAATTAAGCGAATATAAAGCGTGTCATCGAAACGGGGCCGATCCTCTCCCCCTTTGTTGTTACAGACGAATTGGAAATTAACTGCGGAGGAGGAGGGGGGAGGGGGGTAGAGGATGGGACATTAGCATTGAATCAAATTACCATTTGGATTAAGTTGGCCGCGAAATGATGTACCTAACGAGGAAGCAAATATCCAGTAAATGTAAATTTCGGAAAAGTAGATTTAGCTTCTGTCTGGCTGTCTGGCAATTCGCGTATGGCTCGAGGCATTATCTGTAGATTTAATTCAGGCAAAAGACAGGGCGAAAGCTCAGGGAAGCGCGAGCGCGAGGGAGGAAGAAAGGCGGTCGCCCTTGTTCTTGATACGCCACGGAAGTTAATTCGCCTTGAAGCCCCGCAGGGCATACGGCTCACGAAGTTTTCTATTCCCGGTGGATATTAGCCGCGGAGAATAAGAGTGTCATGCAACCTGTCCCAATGCAATTAAGATAAGCACCGGCGATGTTTATAAATATTTCGGTCTATTCCCATTTGCCAGGACAACGGCGGTTCCGAGGGGTAAGGGATGGCCACGGAAGCCGGGCCAGCGTATATCTGACAGCGAATACTTGGCGTGACCGGCCGCAGGCGACACGACCCCTTGCAAACTTTCGGATTCACCGCCAACACGACGACCAGTTTCGTTCTTCTTTAACGCGTTTCCCCTTTTCCGTTCCACCCTTTCCAGCCGGGGCTTTTATGTGGGTTAGGCTTCAGCCTTTGGGTTAGGTTAGAACGCCGTGCGCGTGAATACCACCGTTTCGCAACGCTCCTTGATAACGGGGGAGGTGTGGGGGTGGTCCTGGACGCGCGTACGACGAGACGTGTCGCGCGCTTCGTGAAAAATTACAACACCGTGGCAACCGTACGACTTCCTCTTTCTTATTGCGTCATTTCTCCTTACTTTCACGGCATTTCCCGTGTTCTCTTTCCGGCTCTCTCTCTCTCTCTCTCTCTCTCTCTCTCTCTCTCTCTCTCTCTCTCTCTCTTTTACTCTCGTTTTCGCCCCGACGCGGCGCGGCTCGACGCGACGACGTAATTCTCCGCTAAGAAACTGTTGGCCGCCGTGGCTCCACCTGCTATCGCGACGAAATTGCATCCACCGAATCTCCGTGAGATTAAAACGTCTCAAGCTTCGCGGCAGAACGCGACGGCCCTGTGAAACCGGCAACACGCAGCGACCGATTTGAATTTTGCATGCTCCAACTATGTGACGAACAATCTGTCAGCAGGCTTGTTTGTTTGTTATGAAACAACACCGATAAATCTGCCGTTAAGAAATATTTTATAACACGAAGGTGCAAGCCGGAATACTTATATGCAGCAAGTTACGCGAGGTATGGTTTGTGTGAAACACGAGTCACGCTGACTTTATTCAACTTTTTCGTAATTGTCGCTTGCGTTCAATTATTGCAACGTACAATCAATTACAGAAAAAAAAACATTTGGATACTGATGTAGATTTTATCATTACTTTTCCAGAAATAATCTTTCATTTACATTTTTGTATTTAATATTTCATTTAAGCAGCGGATTAAGAATGAAGGAATAACTTTTTCGTTAGATATTATTATTCTATGTAGCTGCTTCGTTATTCATAGGGGTATTTTATTCATCATAGTATACCTACCCATAGTTTTATTTCACACAATACAAAGAGAGGTAAAATTTTGAAAAATTCATTCAGAATCCAACGGCGAACGAATACACTCTTTCTGTATGAAATCGTCCTGATTATTCATGAAAGTAATAGTTAATGGATTCCGCGGTATCCGTGGTAGTCGTGATTATAGACAGATCAAGACTATCCGACAGTCCTGATAATGTCGTGTCGTAAATATAGTAAGTGATCTTAGACCAAGTTCTGTCCACGACTCTCGCAGTGCGCGCGTGCTTGCTTACATCCATCTCGGTGTGTTGAGATAGTCAAATGGTGATCAGATACGACGAACAGGCCCTTTGAATAAATCCTCAGACCGATAGGAAGGCGGTTCCAGGAGGTTTGCTCGACAGTGCGATAGCCGATAATGGTCTGGTTCAGCCACCGTCCAATTCTAGGGTTAATTACCATCGTTTTAACCCGTTATACCGGCGTTGGTTCTTAAACTGGTCCGAGTCGTTTTGGAAAATTAATTTTACGACGCGACAGCGAGAATGCCGATATTTCCGCTGCTTCCAGACGATCTCCAAGGCGGAGCGCGAATAAACGATTCCTATTAACACGCGTTATTTTTTCCCAACGAGTACGAATTTTTCTCTAATCGACTCGTTAACTACTTTCCGATTGAAAACTTTCTGCCGTACAGGATGTTTCTGCCATCGTGGCATCGAAAAGATGGTCCCTCGTTAAAATGAAAAATCAACAAGAATATGTGTGCAATTCACGTATTGATGTTGCTGCCTAAAAATTAACCGTCAACTTAACGAATAAAACGAGAAAAAGGTTAAAGAAGTTAAGAGAGGTAATTAACAAATTTCTTGCAGAAAACTCGATGTCCCGTAACTCTATCCTACATGCAAGTGACTAAGAAGTGAGCTCATAAAACAGTGAACTGTGACTAATATACTGTTATTTACCAACTACGAGATAACGGCTAGATTCTAGCCAGCGGAAAGTTTGCGTGAGTACAACATTTGCGAGTCTAGTGGGTAGTTTACGTCACTACATCGAGATTATCACGTGACAATGATAACAGCATTACGGAAAACGTACACGGAGGATATGATGAATCGCGATTAGTTAACGTGACTAATAAAATATTACGATTATTTATTAACATCGTGTTTCTTCTTTTATCGATCATCGCACGTCAAATATTATTGAACGAATTTGGCAGATAACGATTCTATTGAAGAAAATGATAATGGAACAGATTCGCAAAATGTCCAACAGCTCGTACAATTGTCCACTCGCTTTTCAGATGAATACATATTCAATTGAGGAGCTGATGCTTTCCAAAACGTGCATCTTTTGTTTATTTGCAGTGGTGACCCAATATTGATTCCAAGTGCTTTTGCACTTAAAATCCACACGTGGCGCGTTCAAACCTTAATAATATTTTGTATGATTCTCGATCGGGAGAAATATTCCAAAAATATCTTCATAGAAACATCGTGTTTATATCCTGTACGACAAGCCAAAAGTTCGAAGGATTCAGTCGACTCTGCAACTGCGTACGGACATATCCGGCGAACGTTGCTGCAACGCTCTGCCGCCCCTTTGTTTGTCGCGCGTTGCCTGCAATGCGTTGTAAAAATTATAACGCAGAAGTTTTCTTAATGTGTGCACCGGTAATTACGCGGCGAAAAGTTTCAATCGCTTATATCTAATTACTGTGACGCATTGACTCGCGTCACGTAAATGTTGGGAAAGTGGGAACGCATGCGACAGGTTTGTCTTTTCAGCTTCTAGACAAACCTTTCGAATAATTTTTGGATATAGATTTTACTTTTCCTGTGGCTTGTAAATATGCAACAGTTATCCCAAAAATTATTAGGAAAAAGAATCAGTAATTGAAACTTACTTGTTATTTATATCGAGAATATTAATCTCCGATTGTGAGGAAAATTTCTCCAAAAATCACGCGATTAAAAAATTAAACAGTTTGGTTGCAAATGAGGATTACAAGTGACTGAAAATATTTTTCATGGCCGATATTGATAACGAAAAAGTTTCTATTTCGGTCGTTTATAATAATTATCGATGGATTTTATTTATTTCGATTTTTCATAATAAAACTCCACAGTCTAGTTATGAGGAAGCAAAAGAGAGTTTTTCTCATGGATAACTATTGTGAGTAATCGAAATAAATTTCTTTCGTCAGTAATAATTACTGATAACGAAAAAGTTTAATTTTTTTAAAAATTAATAATAAATTAAAGTATATATTACAGCTATCTTCTAATAATGTAGCAAAATTTTGTCTCAGTTTTAATTAATTGTTGGTGTTTTTCTACTATGTTTTCAGGCTGTGCATTTCTCACCTACTACAGTCGTGACAGCGCAATCAGTGCCCAGAACGCTCTGCATGAGAAGCGGACTTTACCAGGGGTAAGTGATCACGCATTTAAAACACGATTTACCTACTTTCGAGCTTCTTCTACACCGACTTGTTTTACCTGAGTTACGTCAATCCACAAGTACCTTATCTATAGCCCCTGTTTCTTAAAATAAACACATTTTAATAAAAGTTGCGAACGCGAAATTTGCGAACTTTTGTGAAGTATAGAACCGTTAGAAATCCTTTAACGAATAGGCGACGGAAATTGGAAAACAACAATTTGTCTATCTCGATTCCTGACGAAGCTTCATCGAATAGCCATCGAACGCGCGCGAAAATTAACTACCGTAATTCTTATTCGGTGCAGTTTCACGCGAGAAAAAAAAAAAAAAAAAAAGAAAGAAAGAAAAGGAGCGGGCAAAGCTGCAGTGACGTTAACAGATACTTATCGCTGGCGGAGCCGTATGGCGCTTTCCAGGCAAATTCCGGCGATTCACCCCGCGATCCGGAATATTAAAATGGCCCGGCGTGACAAGTTAATCTCTTAACGCCGAAAGGGTAGTTAGGAAGGGAATGGAGGGTCGATGGTAAGAGTTGAAAGGAGAGCGGAGGACAGAGGGCGCAACTCGCAGAGTGCACGATGTATCATCAGACTTTCCGTGCGCCTTCTACAAATGCCAGGGCTGGCTACATATATTCTTATTCCCGGGTAACATGAGAATTTCGCATTCTTCTTTTCACGGCTAGGGCTCAGAAAACGTATAACTAGCCGCGTTTGCATCCAACGCTGCCAACGATATTATGTACCGCATGCACATTCTGTATGTATCGAGAACCGTGTAGAAGGAAACGGAATTGCTCTCGTAATTCCATTGGTCCTGTCTGTCGACTCGTTGTGACCTGTTGAGAACGATTAACGGTATAAGTAACGTGTTATTAATTAAAGGAATAATTGTGCTTCCTGCCGTTTAATAAATATTTTGATCCCATTGGTACAATATACCATTTAATCCTCGTAATGGTTAGTTTCTTCCATTGGCGTACGTGCCTTTTAATTAATTCCACGGTTTAAGTTTGGCAAACCTCGCTGGCCAAGGTATTCTCGAATGAGAATCATTTACCTTGCAGCATATTTTCGAACGAAATGGACCATGGATTCTCTTAAAAATTTCCATCGAGCTTGTAGCCGTAGGGGTTGAAGACTACAAGCGCCGACACTGAACACTGCTTAACTGCCAGAGCAGTGCCAACACGCCCCTTCCCATTATCCAAGCTACCCCTTGGAAGTCCGTAGCGAGTACTGGCGTTATGTTTCGTTAATCTATCCCCGAAACAACGCAGCTCCGGTCTTGGCACTGCTGCCAGCGGAAATCGTTTTAAATGTTATGCCGAGAGATGTGCCCCGGAGGCTTGGCTGAGTTATGACTTTATGAAGAGGCAGACGCATATACGCGGATATACGGACGCACTTTTGCGTTCGTAGGCTACTGGCCTCACGGAACTGACCAAAAATCCCCTTCAATTGCTTCGAGCGTTCCCGCGAGTCCGTCAATGTGAACCGCTTTCGAGATTTTTGACATTTTTATGCCGTTTCTGTCTGTTACGAAGAAGATGTTTCACTCTGGTTAAAGCCATATTGTTTGAAAATTCAAGAGGCCAATGATTAAAACAGGCATTTTGGCAATTTTGTTTTCCATTCTTATAAATGAGAGAAAATCGTAATAATTTTCAGTAAATATTCTTTCAATGATAATTGACAATGTTTGTTTATGGACCAAGAGTTGTCATGAACGTTCGTATAAACGAAAAGGTTAATTAAATTTCTTGTAATTTTTTTTCGTAACATGACAGAGAGAATTGCAAAAAGAAAGGAGAAACGTCGATAGTCGTCCGTATTTAGAATGTTGACCATTTACCGATTGACCGATCTAAATTGTAATAGTCGAACGCACCTGAGACCATAACTCGAGCAAGCAGCGTGCCCTTCATAAACAGGGATCGCAAGCTGAACGCTCCCGCTGTGCAAGCAATAACAATGCCCGTCGCTAACCGGCTCTATACTTAGCCCATGCTTACTGCGGAAGCGATCGTTGCACGTGCGCACGCGCTTGTTCACACTTCACAAACTCCGAAAGAAAGAAAGTATTTGGCATCCCACTTCCGGTCGTTATCGCGATACTTCTCGCGGATTCTATTGTCGCGTGCAGCAAGACTTGTAACTTAGGCGAGACATATTTGACGAATTGTTTCAACTATTCAATTATGTCGAAAATCATTTCCACAGGAAACTTAATCTTCACGGGCGCGTTTGTTTTACACAGAAACTTGTCTCCTGTGATAACTTACAATTACTCCGGGATCATCGTTGCGAAAGTTTCATCGTCGCAGAAACTAAATTAAATTCGGTTGGAAAATTAGAGTACAGCGATGTAGGTGCGAAATTTGAAATAAGAGACGTTTTGATTTTGCATACGACTCGAACTATTTCTGTTTATTTGCTGTTTTAATGGAAACATTAAGACATTAATTATTATTCGAATTGTGCCCAGGTTTTATATTACATTTAAGGAATCTGTATTTTCGTACTCATTTCCCTGTTGATCCAAATCAGAAAAAAGATAATTCGTATCATCAATTTTAGAAACTGTATCGCTTATCGTATATAAAATAGATTGAAACAAATAACCTAGTGAATAACTTAAAATGACATACACAAATTTAGCATTCTACACTGAATCTTTAAGATTTTTTTGAATGATACATCTGTGTAAAAACTGCTTGACGCGTCCTACTAATCCTTATAAGGGATCGTGAATTATTGACGGATAGTGTTTTCGATAAAATTTCTACGAATTTCTAGAAATCATCAAATCTATATTGCCTGAATCACCTCTCGTTCTAATTATTTATTTTTAATTAAAATATTTCTTAATCATCCTCCCACTATCATATTCGTTTCCTTTAGAATAATTCTAATTGATCTTACTTTTTTTCACGTCTATAAATTTCGTGTCAAAGATCAATTGTGCAATCGTTTCAAATTGTGCCAAATCCTCAATCTCGAACGATTCTTACTGATGATTTCGAACCTTCCTAAAGGTTAACCGAATTTTCCTCGTATCTGATAAATCATCGCAAACAGCAACGCACCACTTTGATACTCGTTTCCTTTCGTTTTATGCTTCATATTATGTGTAATCTATATTTTTTCCACAGAGAAATCTCGGACTATTTCCCTACGATAAAGTCTTCCAGATTTAATTCCTGTTTATTTGCTTTGCTCGTAAGCTCAGCCTCCGCCTTGGCTGCAATGTTGGTCTAGCCGACCCTCCCTACATTAACAGATCGCCAGATGTTACTGCTGTTCAGTGGTATTTTGCCGGCGACAGAAAGATTCTCATGGTGAATTCGATTGCAAATATAATCGTTCTTTGTTTAACTTTTTTCAATACAACGTTGAGGAACGATATCAGCGAATCGAAACAAGTTGTCTTATACATAGGAGAACGATATTCTTTTACTTTTTAATACTATTAATGGAATTAATTAATCTTTATTATCATATTTTTTCGAAAATGTTATGATACTTGTACATGGAGTTGTGCATATGACAAAATAACGAGAACGATCTTTTTTCCCTTTATTTAGAGTTTTATTCCCTTTTCAGAGAATAAAATTTATTTTTTCTTTTATTCTCTTTTCAGACAATCGCGTCGACATGTATGTATAGAGATTTTTGAAACAATTCTGAAAAAAAATGTTTGAATTGAAAGTTAATCTGTTTTCGGTCCGGTATAAAATGTCACTTTGAAAAAAAGTTGCTTCTTCGATAAGATATCGAAATCACGTTGATTTATTTTAAACGACAGTCTCGCATTTTTGTAGCATTTTTGATATTAAAATAAAAATAAAAAATATTGACTTCATTATGTTGTAGCTATACTGAACCAAATTCAATAATCTATTACACTATAATTTTAAGATAAACTTGAATATTAAAATGTCTTGCACAACGGAAACCGTGAAAAATTATTCAGTGAATATATTATTCAGTGAATATATTACTGCTGGTACTAAATTATTTACAATTTACACATTTTATTAACACGTTCACGCGAAAATATGTTTCGTTATGAAACAGAATATTCAATTTTTTTTTAAAAATATTATATTAAAATAAAAGTACAGTAAAAGCGCATTTTTCATTTTATTATCCAGGTTTTCTTGTTGTTGTTAATATTCCTTGATTCTAAAATATATCGTTCTAAAATATTTATAAGAATAAAAACGCCGGCCAACGTGTTAAGTGCATTAGAAACAAGAATACCAGCTACAGCAGTATGCGGTCAAAGATTTTTTGTAAATTTCTTATACTTTGTAGCCGACTAAAAGTTGATTAATTTTTCGTTCCAATATTTCCTTGCGTGAAAAGTGTGGATATTAAAACAGAAGAGTAATAGAAATAGGTTACGACAGTTACGAAACAGTTTCGAAGAAATCTATTAATCATCGTTACTTGCGAGATCGAAAGTCCTTCCTTATCGTGACGAAATTAGGAGCTGGGTTAAGTAGCGAATACGTTAGAGCGGCGCGATAAGCCGCGATGATATTCAGAGGAACGAATTGCCAACGAATGACAAATTGGCGGTCCGATTTACGAGGGTGTAATTGGCGTTGGTGAGCTATGGGGTTTGCTCTAAGGAAAGAAACGTTGAACTCCGGGACTGGCATTCAACGACGCCCGTCGCGTGAAGGGGACGCGCTTTTGAGTTCCCGCGAATTTCCATAAGGAAAATGATACTTACGCGCGTGCAGAGTCTGAATGGTAGCGGGTAAGGAACAAAAAAAAAAAAAAAAAAATAAAAA